GTTCAAAGACTTAATTGTGCTCTTTTGGTGAAATAAGTAATCATTTTCGGTTTAACTACCTTTTTATGTAGCCTACTTTCTGAACAGAAAAGCAACGTCTTTTTCAATGCTTCGTATCTCTGAGGCACCAGAAGATAAAATTTTGAAACAAATTGGCCTTTATTCAGAAAAGAACGGGCAATAATCTAAAATAAGTGAAAACTTAATTATGTCTCTGATGCACACTACAGCTCATTATAAAAAAAGTAAAAAAACAGTGCCCTCATCTTTTAGGTGTAACATTTACAAGACAAAACTAAAAATGTTATTGAATTAAATTACAATGTTCTGCAAAGTTCATCCTTTAAGCCGAACAAAAATTCGTCGAAATCCGACAAAGAATAACAAAAAATATGTGAATGTGAAAAATCGCCCGGTTAATTTTTTTATTATTTCGCTTTTGGCTATATAGGTTTGAGGTTTGACTAAGAATTGTTCTTTCATGTAAAATTTTGAAAATAAAGTTATAAAAATACTATTATGAGTACATACAGGGTGCGCGAGAACTCGCGCCCCAGAGAAAAATTTCGAGTAGACAAGTTGAAAAAATTCTATTTGTCAAAAAATTTTGACATTTGAAATTTTTTATGTCTATTTAATAAAACTGATGATCTTGTATATGTTTTTTTACAATTATTTGGTAAAGGTACAAAAATTTTGCCAATAAAAGTCACAAACAACATTGAACAGCGTCTTTGTTTCCTCTTCTAATCGTCTATAGCAAAAAAACTTGGAAAATTCTTTTTACAACAGAAATAGAGTCAATGTGCAAAATTTAAACTCTCATAACTTCGAAATTTTTATAGATAGAATTTTTTCCATGTTTCTGGTAACTTACCTTATATGACATTTTTCTCTGGGGCGCGAGTTCTGGCGCACCCTGTATTTAATTCTTACTCGTAATTGTCACAAATATGCATATTTCCAGGGCAAGTTTAATTAAACTTTGCCTTGCTTAGTTGTATCTTTTTTCAATCCGGAAACGTTTCATATTTCATTATACACTTTTTTACCTTTTTTAAATAATTATATTTTCATACTAACTACCAATGTATTGCTTTGTTTGCAATTACTGTCTTTTTTTAAAGTAGTATTTTTCTATCCTGTAAGAATTGTTAAATATGAATTAATAAAAAAATCTGCTCCTATAATATTATAGGTAGCATAACATTCTCTGTGATTGTATGACTTTTCCGACACATAACCTTGTTACTTGTTGCAACCATATTAACTACTTAATACAATTATAGTTATTTTTTCTTATTTTATTTAACCCCATTAAAAAATAGTTATTGCTTAACCAAAATATGTAGTAAATTATTAAATACTCTTTGCATTGAATGCGTTTCTTTTTTTCTAAGAAATAAGCACAAAGATGCAAAGATTTCACAGTATAATTTCTTATTTGATCAGCAGTTGCCTCAGTTAGTATTAAAAAAATACATTGTTTTCTTTATTAGATCAAAATTATGAGATGTAACCTAGTTCGTTTTTTTTTATAAAATTGTCAGTGTCAAAATAATAAAAAAAAACATTCTTTATCAGTTTATATTCTTTACCACTCTAGAAAAAAACAAAAGTTATGTTTTATGAATCGTCCACGAAAGTATCGAAAATACGGTCACGTGTGACATGAGGAATATTCTAAAGTCTGTTTTTTTTAATGGAAATGCCAAACAGTCTTAACGTTGGCATCACTAGTAAATTCATTCATGGTAATTTTAATAAAGGAAGTTGGCAGTTCCGGTTTTTTGAATTAATTTGAAAACAATGTCATTAAACGTSAACACAAAAAAWRGTCTAAGAAAATTTAGAGACGAAACACCAAAAAAGAAACAAATTCGGTACCGCTAACAGTTTTTCGAAATTTGGAAACGAATAGTTCGCAAGCAGGAAGTTAGAAAAATGGCCCGTTAAAATGTAGACGCACTTTGTAATGCAGGTTTGCTAAACATTCTCAATTTTTAGCAAGAGATTGACAAAAATACAAAATAAACATGGATGAGAAAGAACCTTGGAAAGAACGCAATTAACTTAGTGTCTTGTGCATCGTTTTTGAGGAACGAGTTGAAAAAGTAACAATTTTGAAACTAAAGCTGAAGAAAAATTTATAAAATGCATCAACTTTGAGCTCATTTCAATAAATTACACAAAATTTATTGCCAATCATCATAATACCTACTTGTATCTTTTACTAAATAACTTTTTTCTGTATATACATCCTTTTTCTTCAAAATTTATGTAGCAAGAACCTCATTTTTGTCCACAACATTGTACTTACTTTTGGTGTGTTTCTGTCAAAATTATTAGCACTGAATTCTGTCTTTAGACCTTAGGTAATGATGTCTGTCCTCAGGTCTTCAATTATAGCGCTTTCAAAGAGCAAACAGGCACACAAGATTCATAAAAGTCAAAATTTTCACAACATCTCAATTTGAACACAACCATAATTTTTTAACAAAATTTCTTAAAACAAAGAGCATGTTATGTTATCTCCATCCACGTGCCTATGGATCAGCATAGAAGCTTCCATAAGGAAACGTAAACATCACGCGCTTTATCATCATCAAAAACCTTGCAACCGTTGCACTAATTTATATTATAAATTCAGGATAGGAAATACGTTTTTCAGTCTGAATTATATGTCTGGTGTAAATTGTTAATCTGAAAATAGTTAGTCTGAATACAAGTCTAGTTCGAGTTCAAGCCATTCGTTATTGTAAAAATAAGTTAATTGTGTTAGTTAGTGAAATAATTGTAAAGTGAAGTTATAAAAATAATAATAATAATAATTAAAATAAGTGTAATAATAATTTTGAGTGAAATAAAATGATTTTTAAAAATCGAGTTGTTAACGCTCCCACGTTAACTAGCAAACAAAATTTGTGGCTATGGCTATCAATTTTTTCTGTAGTAATATCATAAGTGTTAAAATTTTGTCGACAAAATTTTCAGATTGTACGAGAGTTTGTTGCATAGCAATTTATCGAGTGACATTGTTAGAAAAACTTCGAGTCGCAGACGAGAGGTTTTTGAACAATGTCACGAGCTAAATTGGCAACAAAAACTCGAGTAAGTCAATCGAAAAATTTTGCCAGACCAAATTTTACCACGAATGGTATTCGGAGGACTATTTCATGAATAAAACTACACATTCAAGTCTACAACTATTTATTCTAAATATTAAATGTACAATTATTGTAAACAATTTTGCTGGAAATGTCGTTATTTTCACTTCTGACAGACGTTTCATGAGTTTCTGATTGTATTGTTGATGAGGTACCTCGTAAGCTCTCTAAACGTCCAGTCTTGTAAAATTTCTACTAGACGATTTATTGAAGTATCGGCAGTCAGCTCATAATTTCTTTCTTCGCAGAACTGAGAGAATTGCTTCCATATACAAGCCTTCGTCTTGATCTATTTTAGGGAACACTTATTGAACTTGCAAGTGTAATGTCCCAAATCGCGTGTTTTCATTCATTTTTCAAATTAAATGAAATAACTGTCAAAATATTGAAAACGACAGAAGTTGTGTAGACTGTTACCATAGGGTAAAATTTTATCACTTGAAAACTGGCTTGGTTTCGATTTTGTTCGTAAATATCCTTCACTCATTGGCTCTAAATATGAGGTGAAGGCGATAAAATTTTGCTTTCATCAATTTTACCGATTGAAATTTTTTACTCATTGACAAATGATGAGATGCTATTGGCCGAAATGTAAATGAATGAAATAGTCACCAAAATTTTGACTTGGTAATTTCCATTTAAAAAAAAAAAAACAGACTATAGATGATCATTGAAAAACTTATGCTGACAATTATAATGTGTGAAATTCTCCATAGGACGCTTCTACCAACTTAATGAACAACATTTTAACAACTGTTTATAAAAACAAACTATACGAGCCTCAGTCGTCTTCGGATGGTCGTCCTGAAGTACCCACATTTCCAAGGCATACTTAATTTTTGCAGCTAAAATTATGTTAGAAATTAGTCTCTAACCAAGCAGGGCTGAACCTCATAAAATAAAATTTTAAATCGGGATTTTTTTTTGCAAAAGTCGTTTCTCGTTTTACCTATCCGAGGACACACTATATATTACAGTGATAATTTTATCATGTTGAATGTAAAATCAATATTTTCTAAAATATTTAAACACATTTAAAAAAAAAGAATTTTTATTAATTTAAGTAAATTTATTTTTTAATCCAAGCAAAGCGCTTTTAAAATTCTTATTTTGAAGGCACGAGCACTGGTATGTTATAAATATATAAATAAAAACGCGAGTAATCACAACTCACTGTAGCTTATGCAACCAACAATACACAGTATAAAATTTGATTTTTAATATTGTTAAAAATAAAATCTACGACGCTGGTCCTGTCAGTTTATATTTCAGTTATTTTTGCTGCCGTAAACAGTGACAGCATAGTTGTAACGTCCACTACTAAACACATTGTATTGTTGCTTATACAGGGTGTTTCACATAACTTTACGAGGCTTGCGCCTAATGTACGCACCCAAATATACAAAAGTCACAGAACACTGCATACAAAAAATACACATTTAATTATTGGAAACCCATAAGAGTAGTTGTCAAACTAATCAATGTTTTATTAATAGTTATAAACTGCAGTTTTTCAGAAACAATTATCATTTGTTCTATCAAGAGATGGCATGAATATGATTCTAGTTTATCTATCTTAATCGCTAATTAACTCTAAATAATTTTTGAAAGGGTAAACAAATTAGAGAATGTTATCCAATTCTTAAAAATTTGTAATCGAGTTCGTATCGGAATGTGTATTATTATTGCATCTTACAGGCGCAGGCATCGTAAAATTATGTGACACACCCTGTATATTCTAGTAGATGATCAAATTTTTCCAAACATTGCATCACCAAATAAAAATAAAATCACTATAATATTATTCGAAAAAGACAACTAAAAATTCCCGACTTCCATCATACATTTTATTGTTTACTTTTTTATTTCATTACACTTTGTAAACACTAGAGAAAGCATTGATAGGTAACTCAATCTTCTTGAAACAAATATGAATAACCCAAACCCTCCCTACTTAAACATAAAATTTATCTAAATCAACATTTGCACAATTTATAACAAATGTTACCTATAACTATAGCTTTACATTATAAAAGTATTTATACAATTTTAATTTTACACAAATCAGTCAAAATTATTATCACAGTCATGGCATCAAAACTAAATCTCTAAAGTGAAGCAAACCGTTGTTGATAAATTTTCGACCTATGTTCATCAGTAAACACGTGACCAATAATTGCCTCTGTCTTGCGAACACGTTTATTGAACCTGTCCCTATCTCTAGCATATTCCTCCCAAGGACCTTTCCGGGCCGCCTGATAAGCATACGACCACATGATCATTGGATGAATTTCACAAAGTCTGCTGTCTGAAGCAAATCGCACCTAAAAACATAATTAATAACACAATTTATTGCGACTTTAAATAACTTATTACCTTTTTGATTGGAACAATTGAATCACAAGAATCAAAACCTTCAGTTGCTTCAGACACTTCTGACAGTCGCTCTTCCTCCTCGCCGAAAAAAATTACAAAACTGTCTTCGCTTTCGCAGACTGACACTTGACGTTGTCTTTGCACCGGAATTTCCTGTACTGTATTTTTTGTTTGGTGATTTTTGGTTTTCTTTCTTCTTCGTCTCCGCTTTTTCTTCTTCTTCTTGCTATTGCACACTTGGTTGATTTCGGGGTTTTTAATGATTTTTGAGTCCATTTGACTAGAATTTTCAAGCAGATCTGTTTTCTGTCGGGAATTGTAATTATGACAAACAGTTGATTTTAGTTCAGGTTTAAAAAGCGGAAATTGCTTGTCGGAAGCAACAGCCCCCAAGGGGAAGGACGTGTGAAAACAGCCCTTTTGCCCGAATTTCGGGTCGGGGGTCCGAATGGACATTAGATTCCACATTTTTACGCCAGCGAACATTCAGTTAGAAATAATTCGACAGTTTCCTCTTCGACACCAATGCAAATTCAAGTCTTTAAAAACACAATGGGCTGTCCCGCCGAAATGTCCTTGTGCTTTCGGTGTTTTCCACACTTTACCGTTATTTATTGACAAACACAAAATATTTTCACTTTCTTGCATTGATTTGATGATTTTTGTTGAAATCGCCATCGTTATCACAAATTATTTGCACTTTTCACTGATACATATGTTCACATAGCCATTTTGTTTTACAATAATGGAGTCCAGAAATCGAGAGAATATTGAAACGAGAATTCCCGAACGCGTTACTAGGAACCGAATGAGACCGAAATAGGGCGTGATGTCACAATGACAACGAATGTCATGGGCGTACGTGACGAAGGAGTTATTTTTGTTATCAAATTAAATGATTTTCGATTAATTATAATAACTGTCTAATCTTTAAGTTTGAAACAAAATTCGAGGATTAAGACGGTATTAATTAATTGATACGAATTATATTCGCACAAAATTTTTGCAAAAAAAATTGTAATAATTAACGCTAAGTCGATAAGTTTCTTTCAAAATATTCCGAACAATCACGTATGTACGTGCTTAATATAGTATATTTCCAGCATTTACTAATTTTTCCATGCTTTCACTTTCATTGGCTTATTGTTAAATACACTGGCGGACGATTTGTCTGTCATTCGACTGACATCAAAATGTAAAACGGGCCTTAGGCAACTAACCTCACTTTCGGTTATTGTAATTTTTTATCTTGATAGCTAGAGTGACAACAAATCAAAGTAATTTATTGAACTTATATAAAAACACGTATTGTTTCGGGAAATACATTTCAACTAAAACTTTCAACTTTTAGTTTCAAACGTCAAATAAAGCGTGGCTTTCATTGACATTTTTTAAACTGTCATGTTCAAAATTCCGTGTCTGCCACTGTAATGCTTTATCATATCACTATTTGTATACCTTTTTAAACTGAAACAAAAATTAAATAGACAAATGTTTCTAAAATACATGCACAAAAAACTACTAATACAATGAGATCAAAAAGTCTGTTATCGTTAGAACCGATGGCAACGTCGTAATGACAATTGGAAAATGTCATAATGATTTTTGTAATAAATTCTGACATGGGACCGTGTAGATAGTAAAAAATAAAAAAAAACTTATTTTTAATAGCTATTAAGACAACTATATAGTTTTATAGACAATTTAAAAATTGAGATCGTAGTTTAAATTCAATAGGCTGAGATTTTCAAACATAAAACTCATGTTGTTTTCAAGATTTTTTGCAACACTAATATTGAATTAGAAATTTTACTAAATTCAGAAATTATAAAGAAGTATGTCAAAATTGACAAAAAATATGCGTCAGCGGATTTTATAAACTCATAAGACAGGTTGCTATTGACGACATACTTTATAGATGAAACATTGTTTAACGGCAACATAAGAGGTAAGCTTAAATGCAAACAGTATAAGGTATTAGTGTTGCAAAAAAAGTTTTTAGAAATCGTCCCCATACCTAAGTTTAGCCGTTAAAAAATAAATAAATGTGCCTCCTCAAAAATCGATAACAAAGCCATTTAAAATGATTTAAACATTTTCATCAGATTTTGAATTGTAGGTTAAAATTTCTTTGTGTAGGGGTTTTATTTACAAACTTTTAAAGTGTGACGTATTTTCGGAATTTACGTGGTATTTCCCAGGTAAATAGCAAAGTTTATTTACCTTTAAAATTGTTAAAAAATTAAACATAACGTTAATGAAAAATTAAATAACAATGTTTTAAAAAAATCATTAATGTACAGGGTGCTGCATTTTGGATGTCCGAATAGGGAATCTCCTAAACTAAGATGTTTAGCCAAAAACGAGTGATACATTTTGGGGCTCATTTTTTGAGAAAATGATATTTTTGTCTGTAAGTCGAAAACAAAAGACGATAGCGGGATGCGGTTTTAACCAATATTATTTTCTCAAAAAATGGGTTCCAGAATGTATTACTCGTTTTTGGCTAGACCTCTTAGTTTCGGAGATTCCCTATTCGGACATCCAAAATGCAGCACTCTGTACATTATGTTCCCGAATTGGGTTTACAAGTGGAATTTTTTTTTATCTTTCATTTTACGCCAAAACTGCCAAGGAAAAACATTTTTTGTTTTACCTGAAACGAGCAAATATGTACTTAAAACTTCATTATTCCGATTCAATAAAAAGAAAAGATAATTTTTCTCTTGGTTTTTGACTTTTTTTCTCTGCTTTTTAAGTCCTATCACATTGGCAGTTTTATTTATTTGACATCTATATATCACTTTGACAATTAATTTATTTTTTAATTATTGATAGTTCTTAAAATTAATTAAAACTGTTTCTTTAAGTTCCTATTTGTTTTTCACAAACATTTTTGTTATTTAACTTGCGTAAACTCATTTGTCAAAGTGACATCATTGTCAAAATAATAAAATTGCCAATGTGATAGGACTTAAAAAGCAGAGAAAAATTATGCTAGTCCAAAATCAAAGGAAAAATAAACTTTTTTTTCTACTATGTTAGAATAATGAAGTTTTAATTATAGATTTGCTTGTTTCGGGTAAAGCAAAAAATGTTTTTTCTTTGCAGTTTTGGCGTAAAATCAAAGATAAATTTAACCCAATCCGGGGACATACTGTACATTTTGAAACGTTTTTCACAATACAATGTTTCAACTTTGTTTAGTAAAAATGACATTTTTACCACGTTTTTAGTTTATCATTGCAGCAATGTGTTGAAAAATGATGTCACAATGATTGACTCATGACGAGAGTTATGGTTTCATTCATAATCATTTATTACTCACTCTTGACTCTTTACTAGCTAAATTTACGGATGCAGATGTTAACTAATATTTTACGTATACACTATGCTTTAATAGTTATTTACATTCGTGTGCGGTAACTTACATTTTACAGTGCGAAATGAATTTGAAGCACGACGCGCAGCGGAGTGCTTTAATAATTGAGCACTGTAAAATGGTTAACGCACAAGATTTGTATTAAGCTTTTTGGCCGACGTTTAAACAAAAATCTACAAAATTCAGAATTAATACAAGTAAATACGTTTGACATTAAATATCACGGTGGCTATGCACTCTAATGTCAAACAATTAAAAAAGACGCAAAAACGTCTCAGACA